GGTCCCTGAGGCTTACTGGCCCAATAGTCTAGCCCCAGTGAGAGACCCTGTGCCAGAAAATAGGGTGGAGAATGACTGAGGAAGACACCTGACTTCTGGCCTCCATAAGCTCCTCATGAACACTGGGGCAGAGGGCTGACTCTCTGACATGAAGGTAAACTCTCTGTTATGAAGGTAAACACATCATAGAGCCACATACATGGCGAGCCTGCCTGTTTTCAGATCACATACATGATGTGGCTGTGTATGTACTACAGTTGTACATACACACATACCCTTACGGTGACAGTCATGGTTCCTGGGGTGGGGGGGAGTTAAAGCAAATGATCACATTTTACTGCATATAACTGCCAAATTACTTGATTTTTTTTTTCATCACAAGACTATATTACCCTAGTTTGTTTAACGAGTAAAATAAAATCCTAAGTCTTGCTGGTCTCAAATGGGGTCAGGGTGCTGGTTGTCAGGGAGAGGTGACAAGAAGAAGTGACATTTTCACAAAGGAGATGTGGACAGGGCCCTGGGTTTGGAAATGCACAAAGATAATGTAACAAGCCACTGGCTGGAAGACAGTCATGGTCCTCAGGAGCCTGGGGTCTGAGGGGACCACAAGCTCACCAAGAGTCTGCCAGCTGAGTGACAACACTTCCAAAGCACAGAACAGCTCCGATGAGCAGAACTGGATTTCAGAACAAACCCCTCGATGGAAACCCTGGCCTTTATGAAGAGATGGAACTGCTCTGGGCCCCTCAGTATCCCCCCCGTAAACCTGGAATGACCACAGTACCTGTCCCACAGATGCAGCATGTCAATATAAGAAGCACCAGAGAAGTGCAAGGGACTGTCACCAGAACAGAGTCCGGCAGCAGGCATGCAGATGTATTCTTAGCTCCCAGCAAAGTAGGTTATGGTATAAAAATACCATTAAATAGTAACTAAACTAGCGTCACCTTAATGCGCATCTTGCCAGCAAAGCCAGCATGTGCAATTTCTTTTTAAATTACCCTATATTAGAGAATCAAGACCAGGGCTCATTCTGGAGAGCAAGCCATCAGGCAAAGGCCAGAGGTCCAATTACCCCTTCCCCTCAGATGATGGGAAGCCCACTCTGGCCAGGCCCTGAGACTCAGCCTCCAGGCTGAGTAAGTCATCCAGGCCCAGGGTGCACAAGACAGCACAGAAGGAGCCGTGGGGACAAGCAGATGGGGGCAGCCCTAGCCAAGGCCCTGAGGCAGAAAGGGCCTGGGGTCCTCCAGGGCAGCGGGGAGAAAGCAAACACAATAGAAAGCACAAGATTCCTCCTGAACTCAATCCCAGAACAAGGTAGTGTCCGGAGCTGAGCTGCCCTGGATGTCCTAAGTTTATTAAGTACCTGGCAGTCCAGAGCAGATCAGAAGAAACATTAACAGTGGGCAGTGCACACACACCCCAGCCTGCTCTGGATGCTGACTGGGGGCAGGAGATGGAGTCAAGGACACATTAAGGTCAGTTCTGGGCCAATGGGGGTGGGGCCAAGAATGGTGGGAGTCTTCTGGGCTGAATGAAGGTCAAGGGTGGTCTCCACAGCCCAGGCTTGGCAAGGTAGTAACCACAGACACTGTTGTAAAAATACCATTAAATAGGAACTAAGCTATAGGCCGAGATCCCCATGCCCTCTCCCCCAAAGTAGGAGTGTCCATGAACTCCGGAATTATATCCAAAACATATGGAAGTACTTTTCTCCAGGGAGACCATCTATATTTTAATCAGACAACAACCCTCTAAAGGGGAAAACTCACATGCATTAATCCAGAACTTGCAGTCACTTCCTGCCCATCATCCTTTCCTACCTGCCAAAGCCAGGGTTGGTGCATCGGGCTCGTAGCCCATGGAAATGGGGATGGCGAGGCATGGTAAAGCCTCGCCAGGAACCCTACCACCAGGGACAAACACCAAAGTAACTCTCATCCCTTGCACCAGCAACCATGTGCACAGTGTTGGTCACGTGAGGAGCAGAGCAGATGACACATGGTGATCACACACCATGATCACCATGTGGCGGCCATGGCCATGGCCTGTCAGCAAGACAATCCTGACTGAGAAAACAAGTTCTGGATTTGTACATAAAGGTATAAGAAAACTGGGAAGGATCATATGTTGATAGGAATCCTTGATAGGAATCCGTATGAATGCAGCGAGGAATGGGAGTGTTTGAGCCAAGACAGAAGAAGAAAATGGGCAATTTAATATTTATTTGTCATACATTACTTGCTATAATTTTAAGATAAGGCTTTAAGACAAAATGATGAACAACTTTCAGTTCTGGGTAAAAGAGGCATCAATGTTTATTGTTTCTAGGGTTTCTGGATTTTTAAAACACATCCAATTTGAAAATATCCTAAGGCCGCTCCATGTGGATGGAGGGAGGGCTTCCCCACTTTGCACTGTGCTTGCTCTGAGCCCCGGGTTCACGGTGTCTGCATCCCAGCATATGAACCATCAGGCAAGAACCAGCTGCAAAGAAAGACACACACTGAGGTGTCTCGTGGGCCAGGCCCCAGAGAACCATTCCCCTGTGCCAGCCCACCTGCTGCCCAGGCCTGAGGAAGGATAGATCCGGATCTGAGAGAGCCAGGAAGGGAGGGGGAAGCCCAGAGCTGCCACCAGACAACCAAGAGCAGCTGTGGGCCTGGGACCAACCCTTTGGCCAAGCAGGGAACTCAGCATCTCCTGACTGGAAGCCAGGAGCTACAGCTTTAAATAAACTTGGATGTGTCTACCTGGGGCTGTAAAGCAGCACCAACTGTGCCCCAGGCAGGCGCTGTCAACAACTAACCAACATGGCTACTGGGGGGGGGGGGGCAGCGGGCGGTGAGTTCCCACAGTTTATCCTGAGGTTATCATCTCCTTCATCCCTCTCCTTGCCCATCCCCGGGGCCTCGCATCCAGCAGTCTCCACAAAGGTATGCTGGGCTGAGCGGACCACTCCTGACTACTTGGACCCTCCACACCAGACTTGGGGTCTCACCCTGGCACCTGTGTGGCGTCCCTACACTTGGGTGAGTGCTCATTCTCTTGTGCCTAGGGAAGAGCTGGCGGTCTCAGTCCTCACCTGTGTCTACTGGAAATGTCACCCTTCAGCCTCCACTCCCCAGCGGGGGTGGCAGCGGCCCCCTTATGCAGGTGCTCAGCACAGGACAGCTCACACCACCACCACCACCACGGTGGAGAAACAGACCAGCTAGGTGATCTGGAGGGTATGCTCTCTTCACACAGACTGCTCGAGAGGGAGATACCAAGAGGCCCTGGGTGGGGGTACAGGCTCCTGGGCACACGGAAGGTGACAAGAAGGTTCCCTAGGAAGGAGAGGCTTCCCACTGCTCTGTTTTGACTCCTGCCACCTGCCCTGGCAGCACAAGACAGAGCTGCGGGAGAGATGGGCAACTGGCCGGGAAGAGCCCTCTTCGAAGCATCATCATCGAGAAGGTCTGAAGGGCTGCCCCCCACCCCATAACCTCGAGGGTGCCTCACCTCCACCTGAGGACTCCCAGCCCATCACCTCTTCCTCGCAGAGTACAACCCCCACTGGCTACTGGAAGCTTCTTCAATGACTCCAAGTATGAGAGGAACACAGCGCTGGAGAAGGGGTTTTGGCATGGTTGTACAGGTCCACCCAGCCTCGGTCCTTGCAATCTGGCATAGGCTTCCTCCTGCCACTCCACTTGGTTCCTCATCCCCGCCCCCTAGGCCTGACCCAAATCCTCTGGGCACGTGCAGGAAGAAGTGGGGAATGCACACACCCCCACACTCCTCCAGCTGGGCACTCCACAATTATCAATGATCAGCGTCCCTCGCCCACCACAAGCTTTCAGACGCTTTTTTAGTAAAGGAAAAAAAAAAAAAAAGAAGGATTTGCGGCTGGATGTGTAAGAGGAAATCTCGCCAGCGCCCCCACGGTGCAGGAGGGATGGGGGAGGGGAGAGGGAGTGGGAAGGAGGACCCAGCTCTGGAGTTATGCAGCTAGCACCTAAGGATGCCCCTGCAGTCACCTTAAATCACAGAGGGAAGCTCCAGGCCTGACACGAGAGCACTGGGGGGCTTTGGTGTTTCGGCGACCCTAGGGGCAAAGGCAGGTCTGGACGCTTTAACCCACAGCTTCACCCCCATATTGCTCATGCTGCGGAGTAGCGTCTTTGCGCCAGGGCACCTGTTCCCCACGAGGCCCTACCCGAAATACGCCTTCAGAGTCCCTCCCCCAGCCCTCCCACCACAGGAGGAAGGAAAAAAAAAACATAAAATAAAACGGTCCAGAAGCCAACCTCTGTCTGCCTCGATGACCCTGAAATCAGAGGCCCAACTGGTTCCCGGCTTCACTCTCTCACCACCACCCCATGGCCTGATCCTGGCTCCCTGACCTCGTCCACCCCCTCCAAATTCTTGTTTCCAGAAAAATCTGGGGGAAAAATCCTCCAGAACCCAGATTACCCAAGGGACCCAAGGCAGAAGCTGCTCCCACGCTGCTCCCCCAGAGCAGATGGGGCCACGCGAGGAGCAGGCGCGGAGCGGGTCCGCCACCGCTGCCGCCCGCCGCTCGGGTGGGGGTGAGGACAGCGCGCCCACACCGGGGACGACCCCCTGGGGCCATAGCCGACCCCTCGGGCACTCTAGGCCTGGCAGCCGCCCCCGCGTGTCGCTTGTCTCTGACCTCCCCGCCGCCAAATGCGTCACGTCTGCCCGGCGCTCGGGGGACACCTGCTGCCGCCCCCGCCACGCCGAGTCCAGATCCCCGAGTCTCGGTCCCCGCCGAGCTACGGCACGGGGCAGGGCCGTACGCGCTGCGGTGGGGCAGCGGGGGCCCAGAACCCGAGGCGCGGGGGTCCGGGCGGCACGGAGCACTGAGCTTGGGCCCGCAGCCCGAAGGAGCCGGGGGCGCGCGGGGCCGCAGTGCGCGCGGAGCCGGCGGCGATGGGGTCCCTGCTCCCCGGGGTCTGCGGACAGCCCGCGCGCGCCGAGGCTCTTACTTGCCAATATCCTCGTACAGCTGGTACTCGTCGGTGAAACGGGTGCAGGTCACCGTGGTGGCCATGGCGGCGGCGATCGGGCTCGGCGTGCGCTCGGCTGCGCTCGGGCGGCGGCGACTCCGGCTCCCGCTCGCGGGCACGGCGGCGACACGGGCGCGGGCGCGGGAGACACCTCGGCTCGCGGCGCCGGGCGGGGGCCGGGCTGGGCTGCGCCGGGCGGCGAGCGCACGCGAGATCTGCTCGCTCTGTCCCCGCCAGGAGCGCGCCGCACACCTACGCGCGCAGAGGCGCGGGCGCCGCTGTCGCCGCCGCGCCCGCCCCGCCCGCCGCCCTTTGCACGCGCCTCACCCGCACCCTACACACGCCTGCACCCGCACACACACCGCACCCGCGCCTTGTACCTCCACTAGTGCCCGCGCCTGCACGCGCACTGCGCCCGCACCCTGCACCCGCACCGCGGCTCCACTCGCACACACGTCGCGCCCGCGCCGGCACCCGCACTGCGCCCGCACCATGCAATCCCACCCGTGCCCGCGCCCTGTCCCAGCACATGGGCTGCACCACGCGGTGCCCACGCACTGCGTCTGCCCCTCGAGGCCCGCGCCCTGCACGGACAAGCCACTGGGCCGGCTCTTCCACTACTGCAGTTGAACAGTGAACCCAGACTCTTCTCCCCTAACGACCCACCTCCCTAAACACCAAGAGGGAACTGCACCTCACTTGGGAGGGGTTGTGTGTCGCCCTCCACTGGGCTCCTCCCTTCCCCGTACCCCCATAAGATGCCAGACCCTTCGCGCCTGGCCAGGCAGAGCTGCCCATGAGTCTCCTAGCCGGAATGGGATGAGCTGGAGAGGATGGGGCTTGCTGGCGGTGATCCCAGGCCTCTTCCCTGCTTCTTCTGAGACTGGTGACTAAGGTGTCTTCTGCCCTGGGGTGAACATTTGGAGTCCAGATGGGGCCCTGAGCCAGCAAAACAGGGGCTGCTCTGCTCTGTCAGGGAGTCCTGTTGCCCAGATAGCCTGGTCCAGCCCCTTGCCTCTGTTCTGGCCAGGAAGAGAAGCCTCCATTCTTCCCCCGTCTCTTTCTAATCTCTCTTGAAAGTGGCCCTGAAGGAAGGAGGGCACAGGCAGATTCCCACAAAGCTCCCCTTAGCCAGCATCCCCAAGTAGCCTCCTTGTGTTTGGGGCCAGGCCCCCCCCCCCTGGGCAGTTGGGAGGGAACACTGCAACCTGCTTGGATGGCATTGGTAGGCGATTGCCTGAATTCTTTCCACTTACTGATCCCCAAGAGCAGATTTGGTGGACTTGGATCCCAACCAAAGACTGGCCCCGGACATCCTAGCAAGTGTCTTAGATGAAGGAGCAAATGAGGGTTCTTTGCTGGGCAGCTAGGGGTCTTTCCAAAAGGCAGATCTGACAGAGTGCTGCCAGGTGAAAGCAGGCTTCCTGGAAAGTCCCCATCATGGGTGTCCAGACCCAGCCTCCACTAGAAGACAGCTAGAGAACGAGACATGCACGGACAAGTGCAGGTCCCAGTCAGAAGTGTCTAGCTGAGAAAAATAGGAATCCTGGCCTTGACATCCGCAGGACCCAAGCAGGAAGAGAAACCCCATTGTGCCAAAATGCGTGAGCTTAGGCATGGAGGACCCTGGGCCATGCAACAGGCATAGGGAAGGGTGGGGAGAGGGTGAAGGTCAGGCTGAAGCTTGCTCTTGGGGGTGATGTAACCTCCCGTAGCACCTGCTGAGCCCAGCTGCTTCTGCTCTTTCTGAGCTCTGGAAGGAGAAGGAGGCAGGCTGCGCAGTAGAGTACAATTAGGAAAACAAACAAAACAAAATTGCACCCCTCCGTGAGTTAGGCTGTCTTCAGGCTACCAAGTCACACACCCTCCCACCAGCAGGTCCGGAGGATGACAAGGCGGTGTCTGAATCTCAGTGGTAGCATGGATGTTACCCGTCTTTTACTGTTCAATTCCCAATCCCGGACCATGTGCTATTTATTACCCACTCTTTCCTAGACTGGACAACACAGAGACAGCGGAAGTAACTTGTCAGACGTCAATCAAGATGTGCCGGGAGTGTGGGAGCTGGGGAGAAGGCTCAGTTGGTAAAGTGTTTGCTGTGCAAGCATGGGGGGGACCCAAGTGTGACCCCCAGAACCATGTGAAAAAGCACGGGGCCTGTGATCCCCGCACTGGAGATGGAGATCGGAAGATCCCTGGAGCATACTGATCAGATTAGCTATATTGGCAAGCCCCAGGTTCAGTGGGGAGCTCAATTTAAAAAACAAACAAACAAAAAAGATGCAAAGTGACCAAGGAAGACAGACATTGGCCTCTGGCCTACACATGCTTATGTGGAACACATACATATACACATAAAATACACATAAGTTCATCAAAAAAGGGGTGGCTGAGATTGTCCATAAAGCCTTCCTTACCTTTTATTTTCACACAAACATATATATTAATATATACACACAGCCAGTGATTGGTAGTGCACACCTTTAATCCCAGCACTTGGGAGGCAGAGGCAGGTGGATCTCTGAGTTTGAGGCCAGCCTGATCTACAGAGTGAGTTCCAGGACAGTCTGGGCTACATAGAGAAACCCTGTCTCAAAACAAACAAACAAACAAACAAAAAACAAACCACATGCACCACATGCACACAGACATGCATATACAAAAACATGCACATACAAAAACATGCACATAAGCACACATATATACACTCTACATATACACAAAACCACACAAATGTACACACCAGACGAGGACGCAGCATCACTCTTTTGTTAGGTCACCTATCAGAAGTGGATAGGCTGTGTTACACAAAAAGTTGCAGCATCAAAGAGTGCAATCTGAAGGCCACTGTGTGGTCGGTCTCTCCCCCTGTTCTATTCCTGTGAGCCCCTGGACACTCCCCTCCGCCGACTGAAGCAGTAGAGGTAACACGTGGAGCACTGAGGGTCAGACAATGGGGAGGAGGTGAACCGCCAGAGGCATGCAGGCTATCCGTGCCCAGATGGCACAGCCCACATTCTACCTTCAGGCCCAGAGGACTCCTTCCTAGCAAAATGAAAAGGTGGAGAGGGAGAAAGGCTTCCAGCTGTGACGTTTTCTGCTCTTGGACCCCAGGAGCCTTCTCATCTGGCTTCAGCCCTGGATCAGAGGTGCAAACTCCTCCCTCATCCAACCTCTTTCCCCACCCCTACCCCCTCCCCCACCCCCATGTCATCTCCACCTCCCACAGTGTCCTTTTGGGCTCACTTTTGTAGGCAAGGAGGGTTCTCCCTCCCAGGTGGCAGCTGGGGTGGTTGTGGGGAATATCAGTTCTGGAAGGTTATTGTTAGGACAGTTACCATGGCAACAAGCATCACATCTGCAGAGCCACAAGTGATGCACATGGGGCTCATTCTCCCAAAGAAAATCACCACTTTCCTGATGCCTTTACCTCCAGGGTCTGCTGCCATGTAGGGGTGTGTTACCACTCACACCTGTCACAGGCATAGCAACCTGCCCAGTAAATCAGGCTGTGTCTTCTGAGCAGCAAGACCAGAGCCCATCACTCCCCAGTCACCTGGCCCTGAGCACACCAGTCCATTTAGGACACTGTGGCAGGCATATGAGGTGGTGGCCGTGTTGGTGGGATGGTGATGATGGCGGCGATATTAGTAACCGTGGCGGCAGTGATGGTAAACCTATCGGTGGTTGGTGATGGATGGCAGCAACAGACTGACCTGCTTAGGATACGAAGCTAGTGCAGTATTGGCACCCAGATCTGCCCTTTAACTACGATGCTGTGTTCAAGAGTGACCCCTTTCCCCCTTGGTGTAGTGGCTGTGTGCCAGCTGTGTGCATGGACCTGCCCAGGCATGGACTCACACCACAGAATGACAAGGTAGTTGTGCCTACAGGGCTTATACATCCAACTTGACAAGAGCACAAAACAGCTTTCCACAATGGTGCTCAAAACACAATAATGTGCCCCCCCCCCCATACACACACATGACTGCTTGGTTTTTCATGATTTCAGTGGCCCCAACCACCTACAGTCCCCCAAAAAAATACTGAATGGCACATTGCAGAAAGAAACAATCCTTACGTTTTTCAATTGCATGGAGTTCTGGGTAGCGTGTGGTTGCACTTCGTCCTGCCCTGATGTGAATCATCCTTTGGTACTGCATCTTCACGCTATAGTGTGCGTATGTATGGGCAAATGGTACATAGGGTTCTACACTCTCTGTGACCACTGGAGGCCGTGAACACCATGTGCTCGCTCTCTCGCTCTCTCTCTCTCTCTCTCTCTCTCTCTCTCTCTCTCTCTCTCATTAGGGTGGAGAGGCTAGTCTACACAGATTTAAAGCAAAATAACCTGCCAGAGCGTGGCAGGTAGTGCCTTCAAAGTGGGCGTTCACGGAAGGGGCTGACCTGTCAGCTGAGGTCTGAATGGCACGGAGAGAATGGCCTTCGGAGCACAAGAGACAAAAGTGTTGGCAGAGGAGCCAACTCTGCAAAGGCCCTGTGGGTGGAGTGGGCTCCTGGGTTTGAGGAAAAGAACAGGGGAGTGAGCCAGGAAAAGCCCCACTGTGTTTTGTTGGTGGCTCCTCTGTAGTAGACTGTCTGGCATCTCAGTTCTCCAAGAGATGTGAGCCCACCATTATAGCCAACAGCAGCATGATAGTTGGAGCCCTCTAGTCAGCCCTGAGTAATGTCCACAGGCCTGCCTCTAAGGTTCAGCCTGAGGACACCAGACGGGAACTGCAGACTTGCTCCCTGCTCACCAGGCACTAAGTTTAAGGTGGACACTACCATGTCCAGAAGAGACCAGACCATAGCCCTGACGGGGAGGGAGGTGAAAGCAGTCCCAGTCAACAAGACTGCAGCTTGGTATCCCCTCTCCTGTATGCTGTGTAGGCTTCTGGCTGTTTGAGGTTCCCTGGAGGACTCCTGGTACTCCCTGGCCCCTTGGTGAGGTAGACCCCTTCAGTGTGACCTCGCCACGCCTATTCTGGTGGATATCACCTTTGTTCACTTTGAAGGGCCTCAGGCCTGGGATGTAGAACACATGACAGTATCCCAGCTTAGCACATCCCAAGCAGTTATATTAGCAAGAATGACCAGACTAACAAGGCAGGTCCAAATGGCCAGGTGGAGCCAGGGA